AGTCAGTTACTATTGGCTCTTCATTGACTTACATGACACTGACATTTTTTTTTATCCTGTTGATCTGTGAAAGTATTAAAAGTAATGTAATTGTAATCATAAGAGGAAGGTAACAAAATCTGGCCTGTAATTCAGTGTACAGTGTTCGTAGGTACGTAGTTACCCTGCTCAGATCATGTTTGGAAGGTTGAAACTGTCACAGTTTAGTTTTGTGTATTTTATTGTTACGAGCAAAGTCTGCACCATCAGGTTATGAGTGATGTTGGTCAATTTCTGCGGGACTACAGCGTGCAAAAACCCAGAATACGGACATCCTTATAATCACCAATGTGAGAAACTGAAATTGATCTGACCCGGGAATGGCTCAGTTAGTAAAGCAATTGACCGTGGGCTGAAGGGCCTGGGTTCAATACGTGGCAGGGGCACCTCATCCAGACCTGCTCTGGGGCCTGACTGATACTGGCACGCCTGTCCTTGGGAAGGAGGTCAGATTATCATGCTGACTTCTAACATTTATTTAGCGCTTAAGTTAACAATGCATGGAGCTTTTCCTCCACTCTGTCACGCGTTGTCTTCGCCTTTCGCGGACAGAGGAAATGGACTTGCACTCTTAGCATTATAGTGTAGAGTCTGAGTATGTGTGTAGGGCATGCTCACCCAAGAGTGAATGTTGATTCTAGGAGGAGCCACAGCTGGAGAGAATGCCTCGTTTAAATAAGAAAATGAAGAAGCTGTTGGACGCTCCGAAACCCCGCGTTTTTCGGCACGAAGGTAAGTGGTTTTAGTGGCAGTACGCTTTGGACTTTATCTTCTGTCTGATGCTGTAGAAGTGTTCCAAACAGATCTCCACTTTTTGGAGTCTTTTTTTCTGGGGGGGGGTAGGGGGGGCATTGTTTCATTATGTTTCTTTACCTCCAATACGTCCTGCTTATCCTCTTCTTAGATTTGTGTGGTCTTCCTGCCACATTGTCTGTCATCAAGGCTGTGAATTTTCTGATCTTTGTTTAGATTTTCTGTCTGAGTATTTTTGGAAGTCAATCAAAATCTTGTCCTTGGCGGCGGTGTTCTTTCCGTGATGTAAAGGATTCTGAGATTTGTGTTGTTTTTCATCAAGCACCTGTATTGTCACTGATAAGACATGTGACTACTTGCAGGCCTAGTTTGGAATTGGCTTCACGAGGCATTTCGAACTTGGTCGATGAGAAAGGCCCTCATTGGCAAGTGTTGACAGAATTTAATATGCATACGGAATGATGATTTGTATCTGGACTGGTGGTCACAAAAGATATTTCATCAATATCTGATTTAATATGCTGTCTGAATCGAAGGGTATTTGAGATGACGTTATCGTCTTCTGTGTTTTGCGGATGGTTATCGACATTTTGGAGGAATGTGTTGCCTCCATTTTCTACAAGATTACGTGGTGTCGCTACTCAGAAGTTCACTGCCCTGAGAACCTCAGATCACGTATTTATGGTCAGATTTTTTAGGAATTCATTGAGTAACATCACATCTGATGAAAGCAGTGGCTATGAAATGACAGTTTTCATGAATGTGAATCATTTGCTTAGGAAATCAGTGTGGGATATTTTTACTTTAAAAAAGAGAAGTGGTATAAAAATATATTTTTAGATATGATGAACAATTTTTGAGGAAAGTGGGTGTCTGTATCCTGTGGTATGCACACGTACACACATTAATGTACGTGCATATTCTCACACTTGAAGATGAAAGGGAAAAGTCTGAAGCAATGCTTAAGGCAGAGTTTGCATTTGTTCAAATTCAAAACTTAATGCATTATGAAATTTCCTGATTCAAACTTTTTTTTTGAAAGCTTTACGTGGACTGTAACTTACTTTTGATTGTTAAACTGTTGTGATGTGGAGGAACAGCACTGAGATATTATTACAGATGGTCACAATTTGTGTGGCTTCTGCTATTGTTGTGTAACCTGAAGAGTTGTCACAAAATTTACAGAAGCCTGTTGGACCACAGACTGCCCAGTTCAGTCCAGATCTCTTCTTTTACATTCATTTTAATATTATCCTTTCCCTTATGCTTGGGTCTTTCATTCAGTCATTTCCATCTAGGCATCTTTTAAAAGTGGTTGGCATGCATTTTGCCTAACCTTCACTCTCCCCTGTATTTCATCTTGACAGTTGGCCTTTTAGGTTTTGGAGTTTCTCGCTCCCCTCTCCCCCCATTCTGAAGACCTTCCACATGCCTCGTCACAAAGAGAACTGATGTGTTTGCAGGCCGCGTGAAGGTCGTGCCCAGTCCCCGAACTCGGAACGCGAACGCCGCGAGCCGCGCGGTTACCAGCGATGCTGACGGGGACATATCCGTGGTCGTCGAGAAACAGGTCACACGATCAAATACTCTGGGTGTTTGATGGTTGCTACTGAGCTCTGTCAGGGTGACATTTTTACTTAGGTCTTAGGTTTTAAAATATTTTAATTAGTTTTGTTTCTTAATTCAGTTTTATGTTATGATTGGTAATACTGAGTAAGGGATCATGAATGCATTGGTACAAGTTACACCAGGGCTCCAGGTCGTAATTGAAAAGGCAGGCAGATACCTTTCCAGACTCTGGATGCATTTTCGCCGGTGCAGTCGCCAGTTGTGATGCTGGTAACGGTTCGCATCACTGAACCGGCCAGTGAGGCCTGCTTGAAATGGATGGTTTTATGTTGTGACAGAGGCTTTGTACTCGTTAGACGAACCTCGGAAGCTGCGTCATGAGACTGAATTTATTTTATGATTGTGTGTTGCATGTCGTGTTCTCGTCGTTTGGAAAAACTTTAAACATTCTTGAAACCTGTTAAGGAAAAACAGTATTATGTACAATTTGGAACATCACGCTGTATGGTTACAAAATTTTTAAGTATTTTTTTTAAGTTGTGTTTGTGTGGAATTGTATGTTTGATAACAGATTGGCTAGAATGGCCCTTGAATGTGAAATGAGAATTTTGCTTGTAAAAGTCTGAATATCTGTGGTGAGATCGGTGAAGTTTTTGTGAGACTGTGAATGTTCCATGGTTTGTTTTCTGTCAGTATTGTTCTTTATTACTATAACAGATGTGTTGTGGCTTTGGTTTCTGAAATATTACTAGTTCATGTGACATTAAAAATAAATTTTATATTGAAACTGCAGAGTGATGTATAATTGTGTCAGACTGCCTGCCTGCCTGCCAGGTCTCTGATTTTATGAAGTGCATCCTCCTTTCCATTTCATAGTCTTCGTAGGGAAGAGTTGTCTGTCCGGGCGTATCCAGCATTAGGAATCATCATCGCCTTTTACAGCAGTGATTGACAATTATATTTGCATATATAGCAACAGATTTGCTGTTACGCCACCAGAAGTGAATGTGTGAATTAATGTTATGTAAAAATGTGTTTTGATAAATGTTTGGGATCTATAGTAAAGAAGTGAATGGAGACACAACACTGATTACTTTGGTCATCCAAGGTTATCCTTTTTTTTTATAGAGTGTCAGTTTAATTAGGTAAAGATTTAATGAAACATAAATTCTTGTCTGTGTTACACACAATGTTTGTGAAATTTAGAGAAGACTGATTTGAGATAACTCCACGGAGTGGAGTCTCTTCAGAAGCTAATATTCGCTCGGCTGATAGAGTAATCCCCAGCATTTTATGTTTCCCAGAAGTTCGTTTCTGTGTTTTACATGAGCCTGATGAATCTGATCCAAATTCTATTTCCCTAAGATCCTTTTTCAATGTCACCCTCCCATCTACGCCTGTGTCTTTCGGGTTTTCCAACGAAAATTCTGTATGCATCTCTCACGTCCGCCATTTGTGCTGCTTGCTTCGCGTATCACCTTGATTTCGTCAGACCAATACGATAATTACGCGTTGTTGAGTTTTGTGCGTAATTTTTAGGTACCCGGAACGTCAGTTTAAGTCGTTTTCCTCTCAGCAGAACACAAATTGGGAAGAAATCAACAGAATAATGTTTGTGGGACGTGTTTTCAGGGGGACAGCGCAAGAGCGTTTCAGCCGCGTAAGGTTAAACCGAAGGGAAGTCCCGTAGTTCGCGAAGGGCAAATCCCCATTCGTTAGCTTCGTAATAAGTCAACGATGTTTGTGGAAGGTCAGTGCGAAGAGAGAACAGAGATAACGTCGCCGTGTGTACTGAAGAGGACAAGTTCTATCGGGGAAAGTCACGTCGTTTCGCGTATTTTGCACTTTCAGATCACGAGGTGAGAACGCAGACGTCACGAAGTGAACTCGGAGAACGGCGAAGCTGTTCTACAAGAAATCAGCACAGAGAAGTGTTTCATAATTCAATCTCTAGACGCAGCAGCATTAGGGCGACAGGCACTTTGATCCAAGGCATCCCTTGAACACTCTAGAAATTCGTTCTATGTGTGTGGAATTTCGGCAGAAGCCTTCCGCTGAACTTCATCCTGAGCCACTTTAATCCAGTCTGACATCGCGATTACCAGTGGCCGCTGGTTTCCGCCATCCGGGCTCCACGCCCAGCCCATTGCAATAATACTGCGTCACTCGAATAACTCGAAAAGTTGTGTCACTTACCTCGACCTTCGTATGCCCTCGGCCACGCTGTTTTGAAACCCTTGTAATTTATGTTTGGTAAGAGACACATCCAGAGCAGCTGGGAAAAAGGAAAGTCGCCTTGTGCGCGTGTTTTGGAAGCGTCAGCTGTCTAAACAAAGCGCACGATTTTCAGGTTTTGATGACACAAGATTTCCTGTAAACGAGCGAGTTCTTTGTAACTGTCGTCTACGATCTAACCCTTGACTAAAGCAACCCTTCAAACGAGCCGAAATGATTGTACGATTCCAGGCGTTCTTGACGATGATCCAGCGCGGTAAGTCACGGACGTGGGCGTGTCTCTAATCTCACCTGTAACTTGACTTCTGGCTACAACTTTCAGCATGTCATGTTCTGTGTTCTGTAGCTTTAAAAATTGTAATTTAGTCGTGAGAACAACGAAGAATCAAATGTCAGGTTCTGTCTCGTTGTTCCTCCTTGAATGTCTCTAAAGGCGGCTCGAAGACGTTTTGTTTCAGAAGCGAACTCGGGAGAGATGTCCAGACGCCCGTCGTCCTTGGCGACCAGCACCAGCAGGAAGACAAATTGAATTAATTTGGGACATAAACATGGGCGGACGCATGTCGGTGAGTAACATTTTGCATATTTTTCAAAACCAGTGGCGTGTTATACTCTGATTACGAGTGACGTTTGACGCAGTCACAGAAACAAAACCCTCATTGCATTATCAGCGTTTCATTTTTTTGTGATATTCTATTTGGAGATTATCAATTACCAAGGAAACTTCGCTCTTTTGTTTTCTGCGTGCGTCTTCGCAGACATCAGAGGCCAGAGAGACAATTTTTGTTCCACTGCCAACAATTGAAGTGAACGAACCGAACAGTTGATATATAAGTACGGTTTATGGCATGGAGTTGTAAGTGCTTTTCGAATTTGAGGTTACGCCGCAACTCAGGAGATATCTTGGTTTCTCAAGGTTTCGAGAGATGACGACAGATATCGCGGTCAAGATACTCATGGCAAAATGGCGTCACGTGACGTATATAATGGCCAGGGATCGCCACGTACTCAACGCAAGTTATTTTTCAATCAGTGGGTTGGAACGTCTTTATTAATAATTATTACCTCAACCCTTTAAGAGCCAGTGGCGTATGCTTTAATAGTCAGTAAGGCTGCGTGTGGTTCTTACACCAAGCAGCTGTTATTACTTTAAACATCGTCGACCAATACGTATTTGTAATTGTGAAGTGTCGTGTTTTT